TATATATATATATATAGTGTGTAATGAGGGAAGTTACATACATACCCCTAAATTCCTATGTACTTACATATTACATTTAAACCGCTCAAATTTTTCATATCACATCAAAAAAATCACTATTTTAAATTCATAGTAGTGAAATACACATTTCATACATGATAAGATAACATATATGTAAATGTTAAAGTTTAGGTGAGACATGAATACATAGGAATTAATTGGTAATTATGTAAATCTTCCTTTTTCTTTCGTTTAAGTTCTAAACAAATAGGATACATAGGAATTAATTGGTAATTATGTAAATCTTCTTTTTCTTTCGTTTAAGTTCTAAACAAATAGGGTTAAAAGTGATTTGCATACTATATTTAGTTTAAGATGAATTTTTTGCATAAATAATAATTAAAATTTATGTTGCATTTTCTATAATGAAGCTAATGAGACAATTACTTGTAGCAAATGAGTTGTTAATACAAGTTTACATTGTGTTAAATTTTAGTTATTTATTCAGGCTTATGTCCATTGCATGATAAATGTTTTCACATAGTGTATCCAAGATGCAAAAATTTATGAATATTTGTTATGATGAAGAATATTTTATCATGCAAAAATTTGAAGGATTTTTATTTCAAAATGAGGTCAAAAGTTGAAAAAAGTTGGAGAAAAAAATAAAGGATTAAAGAACAATTTCCAGTCAGTTCTTGCTTCGCTGGTGAGCAAAATCAAGACGTTTTCGAAAAATTTGGTTGCGATGGAGAGAAAATTGAGAGTCAACAATTTTTTGTTCCTCAAGGTCATCCGACCATATAAGTTGCCCTTTCAAAAGGGGACGGATTCAAAGAGAAGTTGGGAAGGTTGTTGTTGCTTGTGCAAATATCACGGGTGAGGATTTTAATTTTTCTAAATTTGAGATAATCGTCGTGATATAAAATGTGTCAATTGAGAAAATCACTATTGTTGCACTAAACCCGAAAAATGTTTCACCGTATGCATATGAGACAATCTGAGCACCGTCTGTATTGAGATCTTACGCCTCTGAAGATGAGGTTTTCAAGGATGAAAAGGGAACATCAACATTCCGCCACTGATTGACGCAAATCCAGCTTCCTCACAACCGACCAATTCTCACCCTACCGACCCCTCTCATATGGATCTGTCTGTGAGAACTAAAGCCAACCACCACTCTCCTATTGATATGTCTGAGTTGTCATCTGAAAAGGGATTTGAGCCTGCTCTTGGGTAAAATCCTCCGTCATCTGTCAAAAAAGAATATCATCCCCTAGAGAAGAGATGAAAAGAAAGGCTTTAATGAAAGTTTCACATGCTCCACCTCCCCTTATTTGAAAAGAAAAGGCGTGCCTTTCGAGTGGCATCCGACAAGTGGAGGGACTGGAAAAATACTCATCAACTTCAACCATCATTTCTTCATGATCGATTCAGACAAAAACTGGTTTCTCGATACTCCCGAGGTTGAGAACATTTCGACATCACATAAATATTCCTCCACTAGATTCCTGAAGTATTGATTCATGTAACCTTAATTATTCACAAAATATTTCTATTTCAATGAAAAAAATTTATTTTGTTATTTTAGGGCATATTTATTAAAGTAATTTTAATTTTTAATTTTCCTCGATTCAGTTAAGTACTCTCAATTCATAATTTGTGATAGGAGAGAGAGTTGAATGCGGTTGCCCTTTGCTAGATGTATAGTTTTATTGATGTTAATTTTCTAAATTAAATTTACAATTAACATTTTTGTAAATTAAATTATACAATTTTAATTTAGAAAATCATAATATTTTTTTTAAAAAAAATTATAACCACTACATGTATGATTATATTGCTTACATATTTAGCTAATTTTGTCAAAACAATTGTAAAAAAAATTATTCAAGTATTTTTTTTCATTAAAAATAATCCCATAAATATATAATCATGGCATGTATGTGAAAATTAAAGTTTAGGTGTTAGAAATGTAAATAAATAGGAATTAAGTGGTAGGTAAGTAAATACAACAACAACAACAAAGCCTTAATCCCACTACGTGGGGTCGGCTACATGAATCCTTTTTCTCCATTGAGTCTTAAATAGCATCATATTTTCATTTAGTTCTAGTAAATTAAGATCATTTTTAATACAATAAGCCCAAGTCTTCCTAGGTCTGCCTCTTACTTTCTTAACATATGTCGAATCTAAAACATCTGCTCTCCTAATCAGATCATCAGATGTTCGATGTTCAATGTGACCAAACCATCTAAGACAACTTTCCCTAATTGCTATTAAGATCATTTTTAATACAATAAGCCCAATTCTTCCTAAATCTTCCACAAAAAAAATCTATTATTATTACTTAAAAATTTAGAATTTACATAAATAATTAGCTCAATTTAAATCCACATGTTGAATAACAATCTGAATAAAAAATGAAAAAAATTCAATAATTACAATTTACTGAAATAATATAAAAAATAACAAGCTAAGAATTAACTGTAAATACGTAAATTACAATGTTTCGGTTGCTATTTATGCAAAAAGCCACAACTCACCCAATTACAAACTCTACTTGCTTTAAGGTTTCTCCTCACCAAATGAAGCTTTGGAGGTATGGAGCATCCCTGTCAAGGCAAATTTTACATAAAAAGCTTTGATTTCTGTTCAAAATTTGCAATATACACCATAAGATTCACCAAAATCATATAGAAATGAAAACTTTAGTAAGAATCCTATTTCATTCATTCGTGAGTTGGGCTTCTATGGAGCGTTACAATCCTTTTTTACAAATAACCCCTAGGCTTTTTCTATATTCCCTATTTAGAATTAGACCATCAAAATAAGGAGAAATATTTCCATACGTTGCAAGCAACTCTGCATTTGATTTCTGTTCAAAATTTGCAATATACACCATAAGATTCACCAAAATCATATAATGTATATAGAAACGAAAACTCTAGTAAGAATTTTATTTCATTCATTTGTGAGTTGGGCTTCTATAGAGCCTTACAATCCTTTTTTACAAATAACCCCTAGACTTTTTATATATTCCCTTTTTAGAATCAGAACCTCAAAATAAGGAGAAACATTTCCATACGTTGCACGCAACTCTGCGCAATGTTCATTACCACTGCAATTATTTTATCATTTGAACAGCCTAAAAAATATTTCTGGTTGAACAGACTGCAATTATGATCAAACCCTCGGGGTTCTAAAATAAAAAGTCATCGCAACGGCTACTTACTTGAAATGGGGGGAAAAGAAACGATAGTTTTGCTTGCTGAAGTGTGTCATACACCCATTTTAAGCATATCAATCGGTGGAGGTGGCATAATCAAGCTCCTGAGGATCAGCTTCAACAGGTAACCCAGAATATGTGTTGCGCGCAGGCTGGAAGGCAGAATAACATAAATTAGAATTTATTATGAAATAATTGAGCATGATAGCATCAAATAATAGAATTATAATGAATTGATAGAGAGATATAGAGTGTGTGTGAGTGAGTGCGTGTGCAGTGCACATTTCAACACATACTATCATTTAGTTTTTATGTGTTATCTGCTCTATTTTTATTATAGTTAATTATAATATTAATTAGTTAATTAGTTAGTTAGTTGCTATTTGCTCAATCCGTCCTAGATTGCAAATTGGATGTTCTCTCCGTAGTGCGAAGAGAAATGCGTAGCCTCAGAAACAATGACTTAGGATCCGTCTGGGGCAGCTTATAAGTGCGGGCGGCGTTTTGAAAACGTCGTCGTACCGTTTGGTTCGCGAGTTTTGCCAGCTTATCCGAAACTGCGTTTGAGATTTTACATTAAACGCAGGCCGTGGGTCGACCCCTACTGCCGGCCCGCGGGCCGCCATTTAGGGTAAGAAGATTATCATGTAACCTCAGAAACAATGACTTAATCCCTTCGGCAACCTTACCGACAATTCCAACAAGCGCTGCGAACAAACTCCCATCCTGATCCTTATTTTCTTGATTATAAGGCAGAACCTTATCCTTGCTGGCAAACAATTTTGTCCGACTCAGGTTCAAATGTGAAACCACTTCATAACAATCAACATTACCATCATCCACTCACCCACCACAAAATCCTTCATGACATCAGAGCCTAATTTCTACAAAGCACCACTCTTGCTACCATAGAGGCGGTGGAGAACTACGCTAATCTTCAACCTCGAGAAACCGTTCAAGGGTTTCAACCTCTTCTTTGACAATGCCCTTTCTCTTATAGTAGTAGTCGCCCATCAAAGGCTAGTAGAAGTAGCTAACCCGCCGCTTCCAAGCATACAAAGCAGCCAATAAATCAAAGGCCCCAATTCCTCGTGACAGAAGCTTTGGATATCGCCAAGAGGTGCCAAGGCTCGAACGATCTCGCGACTCGAGAACGAATCTTACACTGTAACTTCTCGTGGTAGTTGTTACAAGTGTTTTTTTTTTTTCCATCCTCCTCTCCCCTTATGATGTCATACAAGTCGACGCCCAAAAAAATTCCACCGTCTCTACCAGTTTCGAAAATTTTGAAACCACGACGCCCCACCCTACAACTCCTTTCAAGCTTGTATCTGTTGATTATTATCCTATAAATTCAGCCCATTTTTCACAGTTACAAAACTCAATGGGCACAACTATCTAGAGAGAGCTCAGTCAGTATAATTAATAATCAACAGGAGAGGTAAAATTAGGCATTTAACTAGTGAAATCTCGAAAACTTCTGCTGGTGATCTTATGCTGAAGAAATGATAGTCTTAGAACTCTCTTTTTATTGCCTGGCTCATCAACTCTTATGGAATATGCCATAAGAAAACCACGTCTATTTCTTCCCACCGCTAAAGATGTATGGAAGGCCGTTCAAGATCTTTATTTAAACATGAAAAATTACT